ACAAACCATATACAGTCAGAGCAGGAGGAATAAAGAACAAAAAAGAAAAAGAACTTTCCCCAGACCCAGAAAACACTAGGACTGTGAACTTATTCCCTTAATTTTAGGGTGGAAAAATAGAAAGAATACCCATACAGATAAAATCTTGGGGTACTTCCTCCTTCAAGTTCTACACAAACTTCAATTCAGATGCTATATAACTCTTCCATTCTCTTCAAGCAATAACTTCATAGATGAGAGGTTGAAGAATAGATTAAGAGTTGAATTGATTTTGTAAAGGTGGGATTTTGCTTGGACTTGGCAAACATGCTTAACTGTTGGCTATAATGATTTTCTTATACTTAAGATTAGCAGCCTGAAATAAATGATATATTTTTTAGCCAAAATGATTATAGTATTTCCCCCATATTTTAAACATGCTTTCAAAAAGTTCCAAGCACAGGCAGCAAGGTGGTTCAACATATAGAAATCAATAAATATAATTCATCACATCAAGAGACTTAAAGACATAATAAATGATTATATCAATTGATGAAGAGACATGGAAATCAATAAATATAATTCATCATATCAATAGACTTAAAGACATAATAAGAATCATATGATTATATCAATTGATGCAGAGAAAGCTTTTGACAAAATACAGCACCCTTTAATGTTCAAAACACTAGAAAAACTAGGAATAGTAGGAACATACCTTAATACTGTAAAAGCAATCTATGCTAAACCTAAGGCCAGCAACATTCTAAATGGAGAAACATTTAGTTTTTAGAAGGTATTCCTTCTAAAAACTAAAACAAGACAGGGATGCCCTCTTTCACCACTTCTATTCAACATAGTCCTTCAAACTCTAGCCAGAGGAATTAGACAGAGGAAAAACATTAAAGGGATATGGATAGGAAAAGAATAACTAAAACTATCATTATTTACTGACAACACCATTCTATACTTAGAGGATCCAAAAAACTCCACCAGAAAACTTCTAGAATTAATTAATGAATTGAGCAAAGTAGCAGGACATAAAATCAACACCCATAAATCAAATGCATTTCTATATATCAGTGATGAATCCTCTTAAAGAGAACTTAGGAAAACTATCCCATTCATAATAGCCTCAAAAAAATAATATCTGGGAATCAAATTAACAAGAGGTGAAAGACCTCTGCAATAAAAACAACAAAACACTAAAGAAAGAAATTGAAGAAGACTTAAGAAGATGGAAAGATCTCCCATGCTCTTGGACACGCAAAATTAATATTTTCAAAATGGTCATAATACCAAGAGCACTATACATATTCAATGCAATCCCAGTAAAAATCCCAAAGGCATTCCTTATAGAAATAGAAAAAGCAATCACGAAATTCACTTGGAAAAATAAGAGACCTAGAATAGCCAAAGCAATATTTAGCAAGAAGAGTGAAACAGGAGGCTTCACAATGCCAGACCTTAAACTATACTACAAAGCTATAGTAACAAAACAAAAAACGGTATTGGCACCAAAATAGACATATAGACTAATGGTACAGAATAAAAAACACAGAGACAAACCCACATAAATACGGTTATCTCATACTAGACAAAGGCACCAAAAACAAACATTGGAGAAAAGATAGCCTATTCAACAAATGGTGCTGGGAGATTGGAAATCACATGCAGCAAAATGAAAATGAATCCCTATCTCTCACCATGCACAAAACTCAACTCAAAGTGGATCAAGGACCTAGGAATTAATCCAGAGACTCTCTGCCTAATAAAAGAAAAAGCAGGCCCAAATCTTCATGTTGGATTAGGCCTTGACTTCCTTAACAAGACTCCTAAAGCACAAGAAATAAAATCAAGAATTAATAAATGGGATGGACTCAAACTAAAAAGCTTCTTCTAAGCAAAAGAAACAATCAATGATATGAACAGAGCCTACATTTGGGGAGCAAATTTTTGCCACATACATCAGCTAGAACTCTAATCTCCAGGATATATAAAGAACTCAAAAAACTTAACACCAAAAAAAACAAACAACCCAACTGATAAATGTGCTAAGGAGCTGAACACACACTTCTCAGAAGATATACATTCAATCAACAATTATATGAAAAAATGTTCAACATTTCTAGTAATTAGAGAAATGCAAATCAAACTAAGATTTCATCTCATGCCAGTCAGAATGGCAGTTATCAAGAATATAGACAACAATAAATGTTAGTGAGAATATGGAGGAAAATGCACACTAAAAATACATTATTGGTGGGACTGCAAACTGGTGCAACCAATCTGGAAAGCAGTATGAAGATTCCTTAGAAAACGGAATGGAACCATCATTTGACCCAGCTATCCCACTCTCGGTCTATACCCAAAGGACTTAAAATCAGCATACTGATTTTAAGTAACGCAGCCACATCAATGTTCATAGCAGCTCAATTCACAATAGCTAAACTGTGGAAACAACCTAGATGCCCTTCAATAGACGAATGGATAAAGAAACTGTGGTATATATACACAGTGGAACATTACTCATCATTAAAAGAGAATAAAATTATGGCATTTGCAAGTAAATGGATGGGGTTGGAGAAATATCATCCTAAGCAAAGTAAGTCAATCACAAAAAACCAAAGGCTAAATGTTTTCTCTGATAAGTGGATGCTGATCCATAATGGGGAGGGGGGAGGCATGGGAAAAATGGAATAACTTTGACTGAGGAAAGGGGAGGGAGGGGACAGAGTGGAAGGAGGGTGAATGGGGGCAAGAAAGATGGTGGAATGAGATGGACATCATTACATGTACATATGTGACTGCACCTACAGTATGACGCTACATCATGTATAACCACAGATATGTAAAGTTGTGCTGCAATTGTGTACAATGAAATCAAAATGCATTCTGAGGTCATGTATGCCTAATTAAAATAAATTAATTAATTTTAAAATAAGTTCAAAGCACCTTTTACCAATAAAAGTAAAAATAAAATCTTACTTTTCTGCAGCAAGAAAGATTCCAGATGCACAGTCTGCCTTAAATTCTGGCTCACAGGAATCCAGAAAATAAAGTAATTCCTTCATCATGCCTCGGATATTATTCCCATTTACAAGGGCAAAACTCAATTCCATTGCACGCCTTGCAGAAGGGCAAATTAAAAAAAAAAAATTATGATATTTACAGTGGAAATGAAACAAAGTCCCAGGTATGATGTCCCAGAACACCAAGTGCTGACATATGTGCTAATGTCCTTGTATAATCTTGTGAGTCCAATCTTACAAGCAAGGTAACCAAGGAGATTTATTCTTATGTAATCAAATTTAGTTCTGATATTCTGAATCTTAATTCAACACTTTTCTTCAAAAATCCCTGAGAAATACTTTATTGATGACCAAAAATGCAGTTTTGGATTCAACAATCTAGTCCATAAAACTGAAATTTATAATACCCAAGAGGCTGAAAAAGAGAGGCAACAAAATCATTACCCAATAGTAATTATGTCTTTGCATTATTCCTTAAAATATGATATATTCACTTACCACATTATACTTTTAGAAGATATAACACCATTTACATCAAGATATATGTAAAATTAAAACAAAATGAAAGGGAAAATGAGGGCCTTAAAGAGGAAACAAACATGTGCTATGACTGCAAATAAGATTACCTATAAATGCCTATCAAATTTGGTAACAAATGCAAAATTAAAAATATTTAACATAGCAAAATACTACATGTATTTTTTCATATTGGGTAAAAAAATTAAATACTCCAAATATATTGATTTTCAAAATATAACTATTTGATAATTTCATAATACTTTCATACAAGCAAAACCTCAATCCTAAAATGCAACCTGCTCTAATATAATACTTAATTTATATATATATTAATTCAATCAATCCTATATAATCCTACAAAGTAGGTACTCCTCTATCTGCATTTTACATGCGAGACAACTGAGGCACTGAATGGCTAAGTAATTTGACCCACACTGTCAGTGTAGAACCAGCATTTAAAATGAGGCAGGTCTAGCTCTAGAGTCTAAGCTCTTATTGTTCTATATCCTGTCAAAGAGACAAAGGTTTTAGTTTTGAAATTCAAAGCCCAGTAATAAGCTATAGTAAAACAATAAGAGTCAGAAGGCTTTATTTCTATTCGCAGGACTTCCCCTTACAAAGGTTAAGGTTCAGGGTAAGTAATTTGATCTGGTCAGGACTATATTTTAACTACTATATTTTAACTAACTGGGGGGTAGGAAGTAATTGTCTAACCTCTCTCACTGGCTTCCTCTGAGAACCAACTGAGAATGTGCTTATAAAATCCTATACAAGGGCTGGGGATATAGCTCAGTTGGTAGAGTGCCTGCCTTGCATGCAAAAGGCCCTAGGTTCAATCCCCAGCACCACACACACACACACACACACAAAAAAAAAAAAAATAATAATAATAATAATAATATATATATATATATATATATATCCTATACAAGCTGGACATTGTAGTACATGCTTGTAACCCCAGTGACTTGGGCAGCTGAGGCAGGAGGATTACGAGTTTGAGGGCAGCCTCAGCAATCAACAAGGCCCTATCTCAAAATTTAAAAAGGGCTGGGGATGCAGGTCAGTGTAAGATACCCCTGGGTTCAGTCCCCAGTACCAAAAAATAAAATCCTTTGCAAAGCATTAAATGAAAGTTAGTATTCTGAGTTTAGATCTTATCTTTAGATTGTCCAAGAACTTAGACCCTGATTTGTACAAACAAAAGAAATTCATTATCAAACATTTTGTTAACCGAATGGTTTCAAAGATAGTTTTACAACTACTTTATTCTGTATTTGAACATATAACCAAAATTTCTGCAATGATAACTATGGCTAGGTTTTCTAAGAGGAAAACCAGCAGAGTACACCATTCATTGAGAGAAGAGATTTATATATTTTGACAGTGCTATTGGCTGCCTAACAGTCATTCCTAGATGTGAGAAACAAAGCTACCTCCAGTATGCTAGGTCATAAATACTGTGAAAAATGTGTGCTGTCAGCAATTTGAGTTTCAGCATCGTGTAAGACACTTAGCCGATGGATCACTCCTTATTTTCATCCTCCAACACACAAAGCACAGTATCTGTATTAAGTAAACTTTTGACAACTTATCTGTACTGTTATATTTATCAAAGAATCAAAGACAACTTCAGTGTGCACTTAAGTATTTCCTATTGGTCTCCTAAATTGACCTAAATGCCTAAAAAAAGGATTCACTCTACAGAGAGTTCATTTCTGAACACAATGACTAAAAACATAAAATGTCAACACTCTCTCAGAACTCTTGTATGTAGGGGGGCATAGAATATCAATAACCAGTTTCTCTCACTTTATTTAACAAAAACACTGAACTGAGAGTCTCAGTTTGTTACCGTTTTATTGAGACATCCAAATCTTTTAGACAGTCCACAATTGTGCTTCTGTGCCTCTGTACTGCATTATGATCTGTCTGCACAGTCTTCAACAAAGATGTCAGAGCTACATATCTGGATGAAACAAAGTTGCAGAATAACAGTTAAAATGCAAAATTTTCCTCTGCCTAAATGATGACAAAGATGACTTAATGGATAAGGGCAAGCACATATTGTAAAATATTTAAAAGTAAAGACAGAGTTAATGAGTATAAAGATAACATTTTGAAAGGCATAAAAGACAGCATAATCTATAGTGGCAACCAGGAAAAGCTTTGGATTTAGATTTGCTTTCAAAGTCAAAGTTAAATTTCTAAAAGTAATCAACTTAACTCTTTCAAAATCTTCCAAAACACTAAAACAAAATAAGCACCTATACCTTTATGTACCTTTAAAAGCTGCCTTACCCCCAAAATGCAAGAGGATGTTATTTTAATTTTATCATTTGAGTTTTCTCTGCTTTTATTTAATGGTGGTACCCAAACTGACTCTAAAATATTTGAGGTTTAAGATGCAAGTGCTTAAAAATTCTTTTAGGAGAAGATAATTCAAGGTGCCACAATGTTTATTTCTACATCTTCTCCTGCTTAAGATTATTAGAAAGAAAAATCTTTCCTGATTGGAAAAAAATAGCAAGCAAACTATATATACATGAAAATAACTAAATAAAGATAATATTGATCAATTCAAAAACCAGCTAGATTTCTCAAAGATGTTCCAGATTTACAAATCTGAAAATGTACTTTTCTTACTAATTTAGAGCAAGGGTCAACAAACTATAGCCCACCTGCAAAAATCAAGTCTTCTACTATTTTTGTAAATCAATTTTTATAGAACACAGCCATACTCACTATTCATATATGATTTATGATTAATTTCTTGCTAAAGGACAGAGTTGAACAATTGCTACAGAGACCCTGTAGCCCAAAAAGTCCAAAATACATCCATATGACCCTTTACAGAAAGTTTGCTGACTGACTTATGAATAGGAGTAAAAATTAAAACCATAAAGAAAATCTTCAAATTATTTACAAATTGTTAGTTTTAAGATCAAACTAAAGGTTATGAAATTCTACATATATTGCGTAATACCTATATAATCTTCAGCAAAGGCACTCTTGAAAATACTGAGTTGTAATACTCAATACAAGATATTTTTCAGTAGACTTACCTAATATTTTTGTCATTGTTCAATAAGAAACGACCCAGGATATTTATGGCTAAAACCTAAAAAAAAAGCAAAAGTTAAAAATCTAGAAAATTGAAACATTTACATTATTTCCTAATACTAAAGGATCACTTCTTGGTCCCTGGTGGGGGACCAAATTATTTAAAAGTGACAGTTTGTACCTTTAGACTACTAGAACAAATATATCCAAGGGTAAACTCTTAAAAATCGTATTCTATTTCAACAGTAGCTGTTGGAAGATTCAGTTTCAAGGTTTTAATATTGTTAATAGAAAAATATCATTGGTATGATCCCTTTGGAGAACAACCTGGCAATAATTATAAATATTTAAAATAAAAATCTAGGAAACACTTATTCTCATGAAATGTTTCCAAATTCTAGAATAAAAATAAAAATAAAACCAATTGAGATTTAAAAAAAAAAAGAAAAGAGAAACCAAAGTCCTCTGCTTCAACAATTTCAATTTCAAGGCAGGTGCAGTGTTGCACACCTATAATTCCAGTTACTCAGGAGGCTTAGGCAAGAAGGACTCAAGTTCAAGGACAGCGCCTTCAACTTAGTGAGATGCAATCCCAAAATAAAAAGGGCTGGAGATGTAGCTCAGTGATAGAGCACACCCTGGGTTGAATTATTACCAATACCAGAAAAAATAAAAAATTCAATTCTAGGAATTTATCTGACAAATAATTGTACATATGTATAAAAGTCTGTTGCAGCACTACCAGCATATCATAATGGTAGGAGACATCCTAAATGTGCATTATTAGCAAATCTGCTAAATATACTACTAACACAGCTATACAATGGAATCCTAAGCAGTCATTAAAAAGAATGAATTCAGGGCTGGGGATGTGGCTCAAGCGGTAGCGCGCTCGCCCGGCATGCGTGCGGCCTGGGTTCGATCCTCAGCACCACATACCAACAAGGATGTTGTGTCTGCGGAGAACTAAAATAAATAAATGAATAAATATTAAAAATTCTCTCTCTCTCTCTCTCTCTCTCTCTCTCTCCTGTCTCACTCTCTCTTAAAAAAAAAAAAAAAAGAATGAATTCAGACACAAGGTACAGCAAGGATAACCTTAAAGATATCAAGCTAAGTGAAATAAAATAGAAAAGAACAAATTCTATTATGATTACACCTACATAAAATATTATGACACTGTAAAATATATTTGGTCTTTGTCCTCATTGCCTGGAACAAAACTCCTAAATCCCTTGGAATTTATTGGGTCATGGTAACACCTTTAGTTCTAGTGAAGTGATTTTTAATAGGCTCCTAGATAACCTCAAGGTAGGGTTGGTTTGCCATAGAAACCCCAGCGTTGGAGTGTTCAGTCTCATGCCCAGGCTCTAGGGATGGCAGGGGTGCTAAAGGTCATGCTGATGACCAACTGCCAGTGATCCAATTAAGTGTGCCTACATAATGAGGCCTCCATAAAAACTCAAAAGGACAGGGTTCCTAGGAGTTTCTGGACAGATAAACACGTAAGAATTTCCTGAAGAGCATCATACATGTAGAAAGCACAGAAGCCCCCAATCATTCCCACATATCTTGCCTTATAAATCTCTCCCACCTGTAGCCTTTTCAATATCCTTTATAACAAATTGATATACCTAAGTAAAATGTTTCCCTTTGTTCTGAGATACTCTAGTAAATTAATCAAACAAGAGTAGGGAATGATATGAGAACCTAGATTTATAGATGTTTAGTTAAAGCATAGGTCATACACACTTGTGATTGGCATGTGAAACGGGACATAGTATTGTGAGACTTTACCCTTATCCTGTGGGATATGATGCTACCTCCAAGTGATATTGCAAGAAATAAATCAATGTGGAAGACATTCAAGTAGTATCTGCTGGAGAATCACTCATTGTATGAGTAACATTCCTACACATCTGGTGTCAAAAATTAAATGTTGAGCCAGGTACGGTGGCACAGGCATGTAATCCCAGAAGCACCAGAGGCACCAGAGACTCAGACGGAGGATTTCGAGTTCAAAGCCAGCCTCAGCAACGGCGAAGCACTAAGCAACACAGTGAGGCCCTGTCTCTCAATAAATTACAAAATAGGGCTGGGGATGTGGCTCAGTGGTTGAGTGCCCCTAAATTCAATCCCCAGTACCAAAAAAAAAAAAAATTAAGTGTTGAGAAATATGTGAGAAGAGGAGCTAGAAAACACTTTTTTCCCCCATATCTTTTCAGAGGTACCTGAAGTAATCAAATTCACAGAGCAAAAAAACAGAAAGGTAGATGCCAGGGATTTGAGGTAGTATAGAATAAACAGTTATTGTTTAATGAAGACAGAGTTTGGGAAAATGAAAATAAGTTCTGGGGAAAATGGTGGTACAAGCTATACAAACGTATTAATGCCAATAAACTATATACATTTAAAAATGGTAAATTTTATGTTACATATATTTTATCACAATTCAGAAAAAAAAAAGACTGGTCTCCAGACATCAATATGGAATGAACTACAAAATAATGTGAGCTGAACAAAATAAGACATAGAGCAATACCCAAGATATGTTACAATCCTGTCTGAAAAGAAGGAAAAAATTTAACCCAAGTTGCTTTGGTGATATGACTGGCTATTGTAAAGATACTATATTCTGGTTAGTAAATCTGTTTCTTTTAAGATTTTGGGTTATCAACTCTAATATTAATAAATAAATGACTGAATTAATAAATACATTTGGGAGAAGGGACAACTTCTCTTTGCAGAACTCCAATTATTTCATAAAGGAAAAAATGAAGGCTATAGAAAACTACCATTAAAACACTATCCTCATATTACTGCAAGCAAGATCCCCAGATGGGTATCAAAACTGATGGGCAAAAGTCTGTAAACAGAAAATTTACAGTTTCCAAGTGTTTCCCCTCCAAATTAATTACAAGGAAAAAACAGTAACTTTACAGTGAGGAGAACCCAGCAATCATCACCTTAACCAAATGATCAATGATCATAAAATATATTAACCTCACAAATATATTTTATATAACATATATATATATATATACACACACATTATATATGTATGCATTTCCTGATACAATCAAAATGAGAAGGGGACATCATTTTTGTAATAGTTTTGCCCAAAAAAAAGCATAATCTTACTCTACAAAATTACAAAAAAATATCAGAAAGATTCAAATTGAGGCATATTCTACAAGGTAACTTATCAGTACTTTTCAAAAGTCAAATTCGTGAAACAAAGAAAAACTGAGAAACTGTCAAAGATTAGAGGAAACTACGGAAAAAAGACAATTAAGTGCAGTGTGTGATAATGGACTGGCTCCTAGAACAAAAAATAAACATCAGTAGAAAAATTAGTGAAACATTAATAAAGTTTATAATTTAATTAGTAGTATAGTATTAATATTTATTAGTTTCTCAGTCTTGATAATTATGCTATAATTTTGCAAGGTCTTAACTTGAAACATCCTGGGTGAAGGACATAGTGTATAT